AAAGTAGTCGACCCATCAGTAAATTGAGTGGTGGCCAAAGGAGACGGGTTTCCATCGCTATAACTATGGTTCACAGACCGAGACTTATTATATTGGATGAGCCGACGGTTGGAGTGGACCCTCTGCTTAGACTTAGAATGTGGCAGTATTTAGAAAATTGCTGCAAACGCTATGGTCTGTCAACTTTTATTACTCTATTTAATTTTTAACCTATGATAATTTTGTATGTATTTAATTATGACAATTTTAGTAATAAATTTTTATTATAAAATTTATTAAAAACTGACAGAAAATTTAATTAAATTTTACCTTATTTATTAGTGTTAAAATAAAATTTATGTTGCAATATTTAAACAAATATCAAATGAAATCGTGCAAAAGTACATTATATTAATGCATTATACTTTAATTAACTATACTTAAGATATGACACATAAAATTATATATAAAAGAGTGAATCATGAAATGAATTGATTATTATATCGATAATTATATCAAGTAATTTCCCGTTTGATGTTTAGGCCAAACAGTGATAATAACGACCCATTATATAGAGGAGGCGCGGAGTGCGGCAAACGTGGCGTTCATGGCGTCTGGAGTTATCCTCAAACAGGAGAATCCAAATCAACTGCTTCTACACTATAATTGTCACACTTTGGAAGAAGTGTTTCTTTATCTATGCGTTAATCACAACAAGAATCTGAAAAATAGAGATAAAAATGCAAATGAAATCACAAATAACAACATGTCTGACACGAGTGGTGGTAATGAACGCATTATTGATGGCAATATAATTGAGGAAAACTTTGGATTAAAATACGAATCAAATGAAAACAATAATAATTACAAACAAAATATGATTCATAAGAGGGATGGAATTAATTTGAAGAGAATTAAGACAATGATTTGGAAATACTTTGTGCTAACAATGAGAAGACCTTTATATTTGATAGTGTTTTATATCATGCCTTTAATAGCGTTGACATCAATGAAGTTATCCATAGGCCGTAAACCACATCACATTCCCGTTGCCTATTATAACGCCGACCCAAACGCCAAACTGTCGCAACTCTTTCTCGATTCCATAGAACCCTATTAT